AACACACTTTCTGAAGAGATCAAAGTGTTTTTTGGCTCAGATTATTCCTGTCTCCTTGCTCGTCTCCTATCTCTGCCGCACAGTTTAATAGACATATCTTCAGAAGCCTAAGAGTCAGGAAATACTAAGGCATACATCGAATGTACTTTAAATAGGTTGTTTTGCAAAGCCCAAATGTAGTATTAGTTAACTGAATTGTACAGTTATGCACACACACGGATAGTAATTAGTGTTTTAGTTAATCACTGTAAGACAGGTCAGGTAAGGAGAGTAATACTTTGATGGCCGTTGTCCATCAGTGGGGATGTAAGTGATGGCTGAAGCAAGCACAAGTCTATTCTGCCTTTCACACTATTTCCTTATACAGTGGTCCAGACAAGTTGAAGACTATACCCAAGTGCATACATTGTAGTTAAGACTGTGTATTATCCATCAGCGAGCCATTAGCAACTGCTACAGTAGTCGCTAACATTAAGTAAAAGATTTATCTATGTCATAGTCAAAGTGAAATGAGAGTTATAAACTGTGCTGCATTTCTGAGGCTAGGAAATATGAGTTGTTTAGGGGAAGCTTTTCCTGGTTTTGGCTCTGGAAAGATTTCTCTTCTTTGTACGGGACTCATTTTCCACCCAGGCTGGCTGCAAGCTTTCCACTTGTCTGTCTGTGCTTGCGGAGGACAGGTGTGCGTCAGCACAGCTGCTGCCTCCTTTAGATTTAGGAGTAAGTAATGGCTTCACGTCTGTTTCTTCTGCAAACAGAGAAGCACATTTCCTAAGGTAATTAAGTTCAGTGGATTGTTTTTAAAAATGTGGGTATAACAGTAAATGGATAGTCTCAACAGTAAATTTCAGAAAGTCTAAATAAAGTTACACTTTCCTCAGGATCTTGCTGGATTATCAGAGGAACAAAGCCCTTGCTTTTCTAACAGGCCCATTGTACAGTGTGGCTCACAACAGTGGTTACGCTTGTGGTGTCCTGCAAGGGCATAGATATGTGGGTGGTTGACTCAGATAGCAAGTAAGGAGATGATAAGGTTAATACTTTGATAGAGATGAACTAATTTCACCAAGACTCTAGCCTGGACAAGTAACTAGTCACTTTGTTGAAGGTGGAGGAATTTCTAGTCAAACTTCTTTATAGCATTTTGTGTTCTACCTGTAGAGCATTCATTCTAAAAAATTCTTCAATATGGAGTATTTGAGGCACAGAGTAGCCATGTGTCTGGACAGAGTTGAGAAAGATATACTTTTGGCATGCACAGTTGGCCTGGCCGTTTCCTGGGCTGTTTGAATCACTTTATGTCTCCTCCTTTGCTATTCGAAATAGTAGCAGTGCTTCCAGAGAGCGTCAGGTGTGAGTCTCGATGCCTTTATGATAAACTGTTATTATGAATGCTTTGTCACACACAATTGCAAACAGAGAGACAACTAAAGAGCTTCAGTGGGCAGCATCCAGTTAGACTGTGACGGGGCAGCTAGTACAGTTTTGTTCTTTACTCTCTGACAGAATGAAGTACCAGTTACGATCTTGTCCATGCCTAGTTTGTGGGGGGAAAGATCATATTTTTGGAGTAATATGGAGTATTCTTAATTTTCTGTTGTTACTAGAACAGTCTAACTCACTAAAATTCAAGCAAATGCATATTTAGGATTAGAAAACAGCCCGTTTCCATTATCTCTTGAGTAATTCAGCCTACTTTGATTTTACGAAGATGGCTAATAAATGTATAATACTAATTATCCATATAAGATAATCAACTTTGCCAACCATGTGTGCAGTCTCCTCCGTGTTGTTTTAGCAACGGTAGCATAACAATCTCATGCTCACAATCCTGTTGTCACCCATACACAAGAGCAACTTGTCCACAGTCATATAGTGAACTCCTGTAGCCATTAGGTACCAGAGCTATTCCCCAGAGGTTTTCACCCAAGAATCCTGCTTTCATATTGCAGCAATGCCTACAAGAACTTGTAGAGAGAAAAAACTAAACTTTGTATTTGTAATGACTGTTAAGGAAAATTATTGGTGTATTTCCTCCCTAAATTACTAATGTTTTCAGGGTTAATTCATTCCATGAGAACAAAAGGAGTGCAGTAGGCAACTATGTCTTAACTCCTTTTCAAATTCTCAGCCTTAAGATTGCAAGAGAGAGACTGGGGGAGAGAGAGAAGGCACAAGAGTCAGCCAGATGACATCCACAGCATCGGTTCTCTTTCTGGTACAGCCAGAAGTGCCTGGTTCTACCGCAGTGAGCAGCCCTCGAATCAGCCGTAGGTTATGCAGCATGAGCTTCATCCGTTTGAGCTCCAGCTTCAAGACACTCTAAGTTAGACCTGCTTTTTCCTGAGTACATGTCAATCTTTTACTTTGAAATCCATTTTTAAATAATAAACATCTCTTTTAATAAAGTCAGCAGTTATTTATAAAAAATAAAGGTTCCTGAGGGAACAATGTTGAGTATTTATGAAGCAAACTACTATATAGTATAGCTAGAGGATTACTAACTCATAGTTTATATTAAAACTTAAAAGGATTAAAAGAATTCTTTGATGTAGAATTTGATGTGCAGTCAGTAGTAACACTGACACTTAATTCATTCACTGCTTTATGTGATTCCCTTATTTTTAGGGGGAAAAAGCTAATTAATACTAAAAGTGAATAAAACATAGCGTTTGAAATGTAAGCTTCCCTAAAGCGTTGCTCTTGTTTAAATTTATAACAGTGCCAAATGCACTCTGGTATGAGCAGTTGAGGGGAAATCCATACCTGAAGTAAGCGCTCAAGCAGTGCTTTGAATCACCTGTCTGTTTAGGATTTCTTTCCATTGGAGCTAAGACAATAGAATATACTGTAAGCAACATAAAAAAGCCAAGAGAATCAAAACAGAAAAATGAAGGGATCTAGGACTATACCTCAGGGGTTTAATCTGGGTTTAACGTGCTCACGGCCTTAGCACCAGCAGATGAGAACAGAAATGTTCTGATATAATGTTTTTCCTGCGGAGAAAGATGAAGATCCATTTAAAACTTAAAAGCCCAGACTGCAGTGGCAGCACGTAACTGCAATCCCACGTGCTGCAGAGGGCAAGGCAGGAAGACTGTTAACTTCAGCCCAGCCCAGACAGCATCTACACAGATGCATGCAGTCTGTGAAGGAGGCCTACAAGGAGTTCTGTCGACACAAAGGTGTGTCCTACAAATACACTAGGAAATGAGTATTATCCTTGAGAAGAGCTGAGGTGTCAAATTACATGGCCCCTTGAAATACTGTCCTGATGGAATTATTTCATGATAGGATATAAAGTTATATTAATATGCATAGTGGCACATACATGGAACTGTAGAATTTGGCCAACAGAAGCAGAAGGATTACATCCTGGGCTAAGTATTGGGGAGGTATTTTAACTACTGAAAGGTATAAACTAAAATTGAGATGTATTTCTTTGGATAAGCTAAAGTTTTCTTAGCCTAAATATATGTATGGCATTCTCAAGTATAAGCATATAATTAATTTATTCTGTTCATTTGTGTTGATTAGCAATCATTTGCAAGATGCCTACTTTATATCTTCTGGCTTATTATATATATATATATATGTGTGTGTGTGTGTGTGTGTGTGTATATAATACGTATATCTATTTATATATCCCAAATCTCAGGAAGTCGGAAGCTGCATGTGGGTGAGATGCAGCCAGCCTCAGCACTGGGAGAGGTGCCTCAGCAGCACCGCTGCTGTCACTCCGTGCTCTAGCAAGTGGGATTTGTTTTGTTGTTTTTGTTGTTGTTAGTAACCATTTTTGCCAGTTTTACCGGTTTGTAACTGATAACCATTTTCCTTAAATGCTTTAATATATGAACTATGTCCAAATAATAGGAACATATCCTTTGTTATTCTGAAAAGGTTGCACTAATAAGATTGACCAGATATGCAAATTTCCATTAATACGTTAAGCACTGCGTTTTCTTCAAAGCCTTCCCTCTAACACCTCGTTATTTTCAGGGCCTGGTACTCAGATTCCACTGTCAGATTCCTCTAGGAACTTGTGTTTACAGTTACTTGTCTCGTGTCCTGACTGTCACATTCTCATTGTTGAAAGGCTGGCTAGTAGAGACTCTTCCTGGTATTCCTGCTCTTGTTCAACACTGATCGAAATGTCAACACCTACACTGTATGTGATTTTTCTTAGCACAGTTGGCTGAGTTCCTTCTCAGTGTTGTTATAAATGACTCAGAGCTTGTCCTTACAGCCGTCTCTTTGACCCCAATCAGCCCTGTTCTGGGGGATGCAGTCAGGGTTGTCTTTACACTGATGGAAGGTCCCTGGTTTAACAAACCACATAGCTAGCAGCAGCTCCTAAGAGCAAGTGGTGCGCAGGTTTCCGATTGTACATGATAGTGGCTCAGCACAGTCCAGAAAATTCTCTTCTGCTTTCAGCAAGTGTGCACAGGGAGAGTTGACCCGGTAAGGTGGGCGAACTACAGGATGGGTGAGAGAGAACAAGTGGGCACGTCTCACACCGCCTGATTCCCAGCAGACTTACTTTTCCAGGCCATGTGTGTCCCGCAGAAACCACTCCCACTCTAAAAGGTGACCAGCACGATTTCTGCGCTAAAGCCCAGTCATTACTTACAAGTTTAGTTTTCTTTGTAAAAATAATCTAAAGCTGAATTTTTAATCTAAAATTTTTTGACAATTTATTATGAATTTGCATCATTGCCATCCCTCCATCCCTCTCCAGCTCCTCCCGTGTACTCCCACATCTTCCCAAACTCATGATCTCTTTATTATTATTATTGGCACACACAGATACATATGTGTATTTGAGTTCATTTAGTGTTATTTATATGAGCCATATTTTAAGAAAATTAGTTTCTAACCTCAGGCAAGTCACCTTTGAATCCTTTAAATCTAAATACATAATTTAAATATTATCTCTGATTTTTGTCCTTCTGTTTTTAATTCTCTTCCTCCTAATAAGCAATCTGTCACCCTCTTTGTAGATGCTGAGGACGTGCTCACTCCCAGATCTTTCCAAGCTGTTCAGAACCCTGATGGACGTTCCCACTGTAGGAGATGTTCAACAGGACAGTCTGGAGATAGAGGAGCTTGAAGATGAGCACAGTAAAGATTCCGAAGACACGTGAGTACAAAGCCATTAACAAATGAGATTGCCGCTGTGATGTCTGAGCCTTTAAAGAGTCCAGAGAGCATGGCCTACAGCTGGCTTCTCATCACCCTTCAAGTTCTTACAACTTGGTCAAATACAGTCGGCCTCTTGATTCTGGATATCTGCTTCTAAATGATTACTACCTCATCTGATGCATATGAAACATTTATATTTGTGTTCACTGTCTTTTTTCCCCATTGACGTCCATCTAGTACACTGATGCGACTAGAGTAAGAGATTACTAAGTAGTGATTAAATTAATTTTCACAGGGTAATTGACTACAGTCTCCATTATACTAGGAATGAAGTGGGAAGTTGGGAAGTATTAAATGCTCCACATTTTCTCAGGAAAATGCCTGAAAGTTTCATGTCTGCCTTGGACATGTTTCATTTTAGGCTGTGTCAGTGGTAAGGTAGAGTAGTTATTTTATTTGTATGATATATGTGGGAGTGGGGGGCAGGGTAACCATGAGAGAGAGAGTGTATGTTGTGTGTAACTTCATTGTTTTCACAAAATTCCTATCTTGTGATTCATGTGAATTATAGAACTCAGGAAGGAAGTGTAACGATATTTCTGAAAGTTAAGGGAAATGTTGGCCAAGCCTCTGATAAAAATCATTCTTGACCTCTTCAGTTTTAGCCTTCCAAGCACGTCAGGCAAGTATCACTAACGTGGGGGAGCTAAAAGCTAAGTATCCTGTCATGAAGTGCTAGGAAAAGTGTCGTGTAGGGTCTAGTGCTGGGGATGCAGGGCTGTAGCTCTGGGGTAGAGGAGCTTAGCTCGGGCGAGGCCCAGTTTGAGGCAGGATCGCTGCACCTGGCATTGGTACTTTGCAAGTTCCTAACGAGCTGTCCGTTCTCATCAGTCCTCATAGAGACCTGTGAGTGGTTGGGAGGGACCCTTTCGTCATGCTTCATTGTGCTCACTGGTGGACACAATGTTTAGCACCTGGGTGGGTGCAAATTGCTAGGTAATGGATTTTGTGGAGGGTTTTTCCCAAATAGAACTAAAATGAACAGTTTTTAACTGAGCCAGCTGTAAACGAATTCTTCCTAAAGTACTATTCCAGATTTACTAGTTGTTTGTCATTGAAAACTGATTTTGGTTCATGTATTTATCAAGATTTTATAATGGGAAAGCAAACTAAAAACTAAATTTGGGACCAGATTTCAGATTATCTGACACAGGTTTTTGAATGCTGATTTCATAAAATATACAATCTTCTCAGGTTTTCCTTAGGGTGGCAGTCAGGCCAATCTCACTCACTGACTCCAACATGCCTTGGCCAGTATTTACTCATGCTCACAGGTGGGGTTGCTAGTCAATAGTCAGGTCCACAAAGTCCAATGGCTAGTCAGTGTACTAAGTACCAAATAAAGGTACTTCTGTGAAAATGATTGTTTTCTCTTTCCAGTAATGTAAAATGTCTTCAGGTCCTTACCTAGTGTTTGTATTGGGAGTTGAGTGTAAACTTTTGGGGAGGTCATCATGAGCATCCCTAACTTAAATTGCATTTCTAGTAGATGAGACCTGTGTTTAGGATCCCTCAGCAGACGCCTTCACACATCCAGACTCTCACAGAACTCTGTCCTCAGAGAGCAGCCTTGAGTATGCTTCTGAGTTACTGTACAAGAGCTCAAGGTTTGTCTGCTGCGCATTGCTGAGGCTTTGAGCCATGGCATACTTTGATTTACACTTTTCATGTCTCTACCATGAGCTTCATTTGGATAAAATTTAAAAATTGGTTGAAACTGCTTAGTAAACTAATGTGCTATATAAATATAAGGTCTTACTATATGAATTAATTTTTTTTCTACATTTTAAATCTCATAAAGATAGGAATTTTTTGCTTTGAAGACAAAATTCTCCTGTTAGGATTATGGTAGTTGATTTATTCTTGGGAAAATCTACTTACATGTTTAGAAATGTTTTCAAGAATATGCACAGAAGTTTCTGTTGGCTATTATGTTCACTTTATACAGACACTATACAAGACCTTGACTCTTATTGCTACAAGTGCAAATGCCTTCACCGTGCCCTCCCTTCCTCTTCATCCATAATGTGGGCAAATCCTCCACCAACGTATCCTATAGGGATGCTTTTTCTAGCTTCCATTGCTTCGCAGGAAATCCTTTAAAACCATTCCCTAAGTCTTTCTAGCAGACATGTGCAGTTTCCGGCATCTGTCCTTCCTTTACAGCATCGGTGCATGTTATGCACCAGCGGTAGTCAACACGACATTCTGTCTGCAGGCTGCAGCAGATGCTGATCTGTGACCAGATACCAGGTAGCTGTATGTGGTCTTTTTGTTTTCCTTTTTTTATTTATTATTATTTATTATTTTTATTTTTATTTTTTTATTGAGAAAAGGAAAAGAAAAGTTTCCCCCTCCTCCCAGCCTCCCATTTCCCTACCCCTCCTCCCACTTTTCTCCTCCTCCCCCCACTCCTCTCCCCCTCCCTCTCCAGTCCAAAGAGCAGTCAGTGTTCCCTGCCCTGTGGAAAGTCCAAGGTCCTCCCGCCTCCGTCCATGCCTAGGAAGGTGAACATCCAAACTGGCTAGGCTCCCACAAAGCCAGAACATGAAGTAGGATCAAAACCCCTTGCCATTGTTCTTGGCTTCTCATCAGCCCTCATTGTTCGCCATGTTCAGAGAGTCCGGTTTTATCCCATGCTTTTTCAGTCATAGTCCAGCTGGCTGTATGTGGTCTTGATCAAGGTTCTGAAGCAATGGAGTGGCATTTGGAAGTAAAAATACAAAACTTCCACTTGCTCCCTCCTACACACTGAACCCAGTCCAGCCAACCTGAACCAAGATAAGAGAGCACCAAGAGGGAACCGAGAACTACACAGCTCAGCACCATGCGGGTGTGCCAGAACTCACTCCAAGAGATTAATTAGTTCTGTTGGCAGGTTGATTAAGAAAAGCTGCTTGCTTTTGCTTTTTTTTTTCCTAGTGGGCAATTGTCTTTAGTTTTAATTGCTGTATTAAAATACCTAACAAAAGCAACTTAAAGGCAAAAGGGTTTGTTTGGCTCATAGTTCCAGAGGTGAAGATACTGTCCATAAGGGCAGAAAGGCATGACGGGAGCTTGCAGTCAGCCCAATCACAGTGCATTAGCAGTCTGGAACCACAGAACAGTAAGTAGAGGCAGGCTATACATCCTGAAATACCACTCCCAGTGACATGCGCCCTCCAGAAAGGTTCCAACTCCAAATGTTCTAGACATAACCTTTCCGAACAGTACCACCAGCTGGGGACCAAGTACTCAAACACTCGAGCCTAAGAGGGACATTGCACGTTCAAACAATAACAAGCCGTCAATCTGGAGACACATAATCTATCAGAGAACTAAGAATACGTCACAGCTGAATACTCAGCATAGAAAGGATGTCTGTATCACTTCTTCCAAGACTGAGGAAACATCCAGAAAGGGGGTGAAAAGGATGCAGGACCTGGAGTAAGGACTGGAGTGCTGTAGAATACTGTCTTCCTGGCATGACATGACCGTTGCACTCTAAACCCTTAGCAGTTGTGATAGCCTGCACAAGACAGCCTATCAGTGTTCCTTGAGGAGCTGGGAGGGGCCCAGGAACCCCTACTCTCCTTGAGGCTCTATCGGCAGATAATGACTGCTGGGGAAAGACATTTTCTTCAGCTCTGTAGCCACTGATGAGTTACCTGTAAATAACTCTTTACACATGCTCCTGTAAACAACCTATTTAAACTCATATGGGGCACACACACATGCACACACACACAAGTAGAAGCATAGTAACGAAAAGGATCAAGAGCAGTGGGGGAGACACAAGAAAGGATAATGGGGAATGACTATGATCAAAACGCACACATGTAAGAAAAGATCTATAATTGATATATGCTAATAAAACATCAAAAATATCACCTCACTGTATACATAACAAATATACTCAGGTTGGTAGGTTTATTGTCCATCACTAACAAACATATAATTCCAACCCTTCCTCTCCCAGCTTCTGGAGAAAATATTAGAGCCATTCCATAAGCAAGATGGCTGTCACCAAGCCTTTCTAGAACTTTCCATTTTATTTATAGACTGAGCATGGCTCTGTCACATGCTCTGCAGCATCACCAAACAGGATGGGAGTTAATTTGCTCTCCCACAACTATGGGACCAACACTGCCTCTGCGTTTATGCGCACGTAGATTTTAATAGCCAACATCTTCCCAAATCAGTTTTCTCACAATTAAACACCTACGTGAGGTCGTGTTCTTTCCTTTTCTTCTGCTGAAATGTAGTGGTAGCTTATTTGTCAGAAGATACAGCCCCTCCGGCTACTGTTTGTGCCAGGAGTGATGGTTAGTGTTGCCTGCCTCCCCCGGGTCTAGAATCACCTGGGGACATTACCCGAAGGCTTTTCTAGATTCAGCAATGCCGAAAGTACTAGACAAAATATGGTGGTTTGAATGAGAACAGCCCCCACAGACCCCATCTGAATGCTCCAAGCCCAGTTGATAGAACTGTTTGGGAAGAATTAGGACACAGGGCCTGGTCAGAAGAGGTATGTCAGTTGGGGCTTGGAGGTTTCAAGACCCTATGCCATTACCGCTACACTCTCTCTCTGCCCCCTGGTGGTCGTAACATGTATGCTCTCAGCTCCTGCCATGGCTGCCTACTGGCTTCATGGCTCCTACCAGGATGGTCATGGACTCACCCTCTGAAACTGTAAAGTCAATACACTCTTTCTAGCTGCCAGGGGCTAGAAAAGGAGCCAAAAGACCGAAGGAAGAAAAGAGCAAGCTGAACAGCCACATCCGTCCTCTGCATCCTGACTGTGAGTGCAATGTAAGCAGGGGTCACAGCTTTTGTCTGCCATGCCTCTGCTGCCGTGATAGGCTGTACCCTAAGGTGTGAGCCAAAATGAGCCCTCCCTTTTCACGACGCTTTGTCATTCGGTCACAGCAATGAGACAGGTAACTAATACAAAGTGTA